GGTCAAGGGCACGTACCTGGCCCTGGGTGGGGGTGTGTGTGAGAGGCAACCAGTTGATGTGTCTCTCTCACACTGACGTTTCTCTCTCTTCCCCCCTCCCTTCTATTCTCTCTCTAAAAAAAAAATTAATGGAAAAAATATCCTCGGGTGAGGATTAACAACAACAAAAAAGGTATTTGCCTTTAATTTTTATAGGAAGAGCAGCTTCTCCTGCCTTCATGCCAGTTTAGTAACTGGCATAAAAGGTTTAGGAACTGGCACAAGTGACTCTTGGTAAGCAGACAATTCCACTGATGGGAGAATAGTAAGAACATTTTGACCCTGGTGAGTTGGGTAAACAAAAGTCAGTTAAGAGAGCTTCTACTGTAGTACACTTTTATAAGAAAGCAATAAAAATCCAACAAAAAAAAACAAACAAACCCCACCACAACAAACAAACAAAGACCCCCAAACTCTAAGATATAGCTGGATGTTTTAATGTAACAGATAACATTAAAAATGGCAAATGGAAATTACTTTAAAACTGAGAAATTTGATATTCTGATTTGGGGTCCCTATTTTTACAAATATTTAGATGATTCACATAATAGGAACCTACTAAGTTTTAGAATTAAAACTTATAAAAAATCAACTTGTAAAATATTTATAGTAAATGACTAAAAGATAAATACAGAGTTAAAACAGAACGGTCTTAATGATGAAATTACCAAAGTAAAACTATTTTTTGATGCCCCCCAATCCGATCTATGACCATGGCTGGAGTGATCTCTTTACCAGGACTGTAATCTTATAATGGACAAAAACTATTTCTTAAGTCTATTAAACCAAAATGATTGCTATTTAAGCAGCTTAAAACACCACACTATTACTTATGGTTTACCAAATAATCAAGTCTATACCTCTAGATTGAAGGAGGTCAACTTCTTTCAGTGTACAGTCAACATTTATCTGGAGTTGTCTGTTCATGCTTCTCAATCTTGTCATTTCCTCAGGCTAGTAAGAAAGGACCCAAAATAGCAATTGTGGGAAAGTCATTATCAAGCCCAACATTTAAGAACTGCTATTCATATTAATTGTTCTGATTGGTTATTACCAAGAAGATGGCCTTAATCCATAAGAGGGCATGATTAAGAAGTCTTATAGTTTTCAAGGAATGGTCAGGTAAAATGGGTACATTAGTATGGCCACATATAAAAAATCTGCATATAACATGGCAGGCTATAATACTAGACTGGTCTATCATACAAAATACTACCATTTTAATCAGAGAGCACTGAGAATATTTTATTTCTATGTTTTCATAGTAAGGGAAACTGTAATAAGTAGGAACCTTTTAAACAAGCCACATCCATGATTTCAATTTTGTTCAGGATAGTTAAAATTACAACAGTATTGCTCAGCCAGTATGGCTTGGTGGTTTGAGTGTCGACCCATGGACCAGGAGGTCAGGGTTCGATTCCCAGTCAGGGCACATGCCCGGGTTGTGGGCTCAATCCCCAATAGGGGGCGTACAGGAGACAGCCAATCAATGATTCTCTCTCATCATTGATGTTTCCATCTCTCTCTCCCCCTTACTCTCTCTGAAATTAATAAAAACATATTAAAAACACATTACAACAGTACTAATTTTAATTAACACTGAGTGCCAGGTACTGTGTTCACCAGAATTCTCTTATTTTTCTTCAAAAACAATCTTTCAAAGTAAGTACTAATATCACACCCAACTTATACATGAGGATAGCGGAGGCACAGGGGTTATATAATTTTTCCAAGGTTATAAAAGAGATAGCACTTATATAAAAGTCTTCTATATAAACTTATGTAGAAGCAATTAATCTAGTATGTGAAACTTTCAGGAACAAATGGATTCCGTTCTTCCTCCAACTTTGTTTCCTTTTGCTTCGACCTTTCTAGCTCAACCTACTCCTTAGGCCTTTCAGGACATACATGAGACACTGAAATGTGAAGAGAGCCCTATTCTTCAGTTAAAGCTTTTTGGAAGCCTTCATTTCCTCTGAAATTCTGAATTCTTGTACTATTTTACATATATGTACAGTAAAAAAGTTAGGGTTTAGACTCCAGTGGCATGGGTTCTGAAGCTTTCAGCACAGCCTAGATATAACTCAGTTTCTAAGGTGATTCTGTAAAGTAAAAGATAAAAATCTGCTATGATAGGAAGACAAAATAAAATCCCACTCTGTTAAAAACACATATTTTGCTAAAAACTAAATACATTATAAAAGTGAAGAAAAATGAGCAAAAGGGTTATTTTCATTCACAAGATCTTATGCTTAGGAGGTATTACTAGACTAACTGGGAATGCTCTCTAAATTAGCAGGTATCAAACGTTTAAAATAAGAGCTACAATCCCTTAGAATGCCAGGGGAACATAAAAGTCATTTAGAAACATCTATTAGGGATTGCTTTTCTTTTCTTATTCCTATGGGTAAACAATGTGACATTAGCACGTAAAGTGTTTATAACTTGTCTATCAACCAGGCAATATTAAGAGTTTAAAACATACCTGAGCATTTGTATTAAAGATAAAGCACTTGTTCAAGGATTTCAAAGAGTGATGCTGTCTTCCTAGGAATATGTGAAAGAACCTATTTTCTTTGTAGAATCATATCAGCAAAGTCAAGTACCTGAAGGAGCTGATCTTACCTATATATTGGGGTGGGAGGGAATGTTTTAGCCAAGGTTTCCCTGAATAGTCAAGCTCTGTAACTAAGTATGCAAATATTATAATACACTTTATAGTCAAGAGACTACTGCACATTTGCTTATAACAACAACAACAAAAGCTCTTATCAACAGGCTCATTTCCAAAGACAGCACTACCACTGGAACTCACTAAACTAACTCTTTAACTGTATGATTCCAATGTACTTTTCCAAAGCTTCTCATTGAGGGGGGGAAGCCATTTTTGCACGTCACTACATTTGTCAAAAAGTACAGTTTTTCATGGTGAAGGGGCTTCGAGATTGGCTGTGCATAATCTACAGTTGTTTGTAAACTACCAGGATGTTTATATCTACACTTTTTTCAAAAGGTGACAGAAATACCTTGAGCCTACTGTTTCAGCACTTTAGGAAGATGTCTCACAGAGACCAATGTTGAAGACCACTGATGGTCTTTGGTGGTTTGGCCCCAATTATGTATCTGAAACTCAAAGCTGTGGGTTAGTTCAAAAACCCAGTTAGTCAGAACAAGATGAATGGGAGAAAAACTTGGGGGAGCGGGTAATTAACAGCTCTCTGCCTATTAAAATCTTACTTATCTGTCAAGATATAACTTAGATTTTCCCCTTCTCCAAGAAATCGTCTCATCTTTGAACATTACCAGCAAAAAATTAACATTTCTATCTCTGAACTCGGAAGCATTTAATATTACTATTTAGTTAGCAAGCGCTTCTGATTTACTGCCTATCTTTTCTCTTACACACACACACACACACACACACACACAGATTCAGACAGATATATGTATATCTTTTTACGTACAGATCTCTTTAAGAGATGGCATCTCTCACAGCATTTAATACAATGCTTTGCAAATAGTAGATTGAGAAAAATGATGGTGGGCATGCATCTTGTACTTTTACCCTCCTCCTTAGCTCCTCTAAGTTTCTGCAACTGTACACAGAGTTGGTCAGGAATGTGCATTCCAGTCTCATTAGTCACACTTTTAACAAATTTTTTATATACCGCTTGATTAAAAAAAAATTTGTTTGAAAACATGAAGGTAGCAATACAAACTCCATAGCAAAAAAGTCAATTCTCTATTACATAATCCTATGTGAGTGGGACAATGATAACTAAGGATAGCTGTTTACTGAGCACCTACAACATGCCAGCCATTTTATATACAGTTGTCTTTTTATTAAAATGTACTTGTTATAATTCCCTCTTCTAGTTATGGAAAATCAACTGCAGAGAAATTAGATATAACCTGTGAGTGCCAGAGCTGTTTTGGCTCCAGAGCCTATATGGGCACTCTTTCAACTATGTCATGTGCCTCAAATGAGCCTGTATGAACAAAAAGGAGATTCTGACAAAATCCTTTGTTTTCAGATTAATTTCCTACATATAATATGCCCTTGTGTTATGCATGTTCCTAAAGTTAAAAAGGAAATCATTTTTACAAAACACTTCAGATTTGTGTATCTCAAGCATACTTTCCGGTATCTTGCAACCAACATTTATTTTATACTATTTGTTGAACATTATATAAATTGTTTAATGTGTTATTTAATCCTAACAAAAAATCCCATCAGATGGGTACTGACATATAGTAAGAAAACAAGCATTGCTCTAGCTGGTTTGGCTCAGCGGCTACAGCGTCGGCCTGTGGACTGAAGGGTCTCAGGTTCAATTCCAGTCAAGGGCACATGCCTGGGTTCTGGGCTGGATCCCCAGTAGGGGGCATGCAGGAGGCAGCCAATCAATGATTCTCATCATTGATGTTTCTCTCTCACCCTTCCTCTCTGAAATCAATAAAAATATGTTTTGAAAAAAAAAGAAAAGAAAACAAGCATAGAGAAGGTTACTTATCCAAAGATATATGCGTGACATGAGAGCAGCAGAAGTAGGTTTCAAGTTCACACCTGAATTGAGAGCTCACTGTCTTATCCATAATTGTCCCTCAGCCATGCACTCCTAATAGTCTTCCATTTTACTGTAGGCCTGGCAGCAGAAACACAGGGGAATCACATACTCAAATTTCTCACTTCTCAAATATTATCGCCCACATGAGCTATCAATTTCTGAAGTTTGGTGATGGCTACATGAGGGCTACATGGGAGTTCACTGTTTTATTTATCTTTGAAATACTCTATAATAAAAAGTTAAAAATAAATTATAGCCCAGGACAGCAGTTTTACCAACTTCCTCCTTTTTCTAAAGAAGTGTCATCAATAAAAGCTCTCATCTAGCCCTAGCTGGCTTGGCTCAATAAATAGAGCGTCAGCCTGCAGACTGAAGGGTCCCAGGTTCGATTCTGGCCAAGGGCACATACCTGGGTTGCAGGCTCGATCCCCAGTGGGGGGTGTGCGGGAGGCAGCCGATCAATGATTCTCTCTCATCATTGATGTTTCTATCTCTCTCTCCTCCCTTCCTCTCTGAAATCAATAAAGAAATATATTTTTTAAAAAAGCTCTCATCTAAAATTTGGGTTTTTATGAAACACTAAATAACCTATGCTACATTAGACAGTTCTCTACTTCCAACAACAAAAAAACCAATAGGGCTTTATTTAGTAGGGGCTATCACATAGCAAGCGGTTGACAATCAAATCTTATATGGTTTTGTTAGAGAAAATAACTTCTTTGCTAAGAAAGTTTGTTTATGCCCTACAAGTACCCAAAGGACTCCCAAGTGCCCAACAACTACAGTGGTTTCCCGTATGAGTTACATTCTTCAGTATCTCCCCTCATCAGAGGACTCAATTAAGATTTCAAGTGAGAAAAAATGAGGCAGAAATATCACCTTTCAGTTATAGTTTTGTAATATTCCAAGAGTTTTCAATATTATAAAAAAATTCACTAAATTATTAAATACTAGAGGCCCGGTGCACTGATTCGTGCACTGGTGGGGTCCCTTGGGCTGGCCTGTGGGGATCGTGTGGAAACCCACTCTCTGACATCCTCCGAGGGGTCCCGGATTGCGAGGGTGGTTCTCGGGTGACACACCCCAGAATTGGGCTCCCTACTCTCTGGTTCCGGGTGTGTCACCCAAGAACTGCAGCTGCCAAATCACTGCAGCTCCTGTGTTGAGCATCTTCCCCCTGGTGGTCAGTGCATGTCATAGCTACCGGTTGGAGCATCTTCCCCCTGGTGGTCACTGTGCGTCATAGCTACCAGTTGTACGGTCAGACGCTCACTTAGGCTTTTATATATATAGATGCCTGTTTCTCAGCCCTGGCTGGTGTGGCTCAGTTGGTTGAGCATCATCCTGTGCACTGAAAGTTTGCCAGTTCGATTCTGGGTCAGCACACATACCTGGGTTGTGCGTTCGATCCCTGGGCAGGGCACGTATGCAAGGCAGCCAACAGATGTTTATCTCTCTCTCCCTTTTCCTCTCTCCTAAGCATGTCATTGGGTAAGGAAATAAAAACAAACAAAAGCCCTAATGGGTTTGGCTCAGTGGATAGAGCGTTGGCCTGTGGACTGAAGGATCCCAGGTTTGATTCTGGTCAAGGGCATGTACCTTGGTTGCAGGCACATCCCCAGTAGGAGGTCTGCAGGAGGCAGCTGATCAATGTTTCTCTCTCATTGATGTTTCTAACTCTATCCCTCTCCCTTGATCTCTGTAAAAAAAAAAATCAATAAAATATATTAAAAACAAACAAACAAAAAATATGCCTGTTTCTCAAAACATCCACTGGTTCCACATGACCAGCAGAATAAAGGTCAATCACTTCAACCTAGTGTTCAAGATCTAAGTCCCATTCCACTTATGAACATGAACATGTTAAGACATCAGAAATCTCAGTTTAAGTGAAAGAAGTATAATTGCTGCCTCCTGAAAGTCTCTGTCTTGATTTCAAATCTCCATAGCCTCATGTTCTTTTCCCTTCTAAAATGGCTTCCCCTTTCCTCTCTGCTTACACAACAATTATTACACTGTTTAGGGCAGTGGTTGCTTACCCTTTTCCCCTTCAATCTGTTTGTAAGAGGCCTGACATATAAGCCCACTTCTCTAAACTTATAAACTTTGAGAGAGAGATTACCCTTAGTTTAGAGAGAGTAAGAAAATGAGGAATGGTTCTGTGAAAAATGTAGGGATTGAAAAACAGACAGGATTTGTACATGCAGAGCTTTAGAATGGCATTCTAGCACGAGGAATGTGATAGAGCAGAGAAGTACACTGAGTGTATACAGAAACTAGTTAACATGTGAGTTCTCTTATAGGTTGATGGATCTATTCCTCCCACTAGCAGGTATGAAGTAAGCACCTAACATTGGACCATAATCACAAACAATGAAATATGGTCATTGACTGAACATTAAAAGGTAAAAATGATAGGTGGTTGGATCAGATAAAATCTGTGATGTCCCAAGATTTTAGAGACTTGTTTCAAATTTTTCAGAATTGTTTAAGATCTTTATTAAATACTAGAGGCCCGATGCACAAAATTCGTACAAGGGGCTCGGCCCTCCCAGCCACAGCCCTCGCAGCGCCGGTTTAGTCTGGAAGGTTGTCCAGAAAGACGCCCGGAAGGTTGTTTGGCTGTTCGGTCTAATTAGCATATTACACTTTTATTATTATAGATTAACCAACATGTTAAAAATATATTATCCAAATCTTTTTATTAGAGTAGTTCCTGTTAGGACTGTTGTCAATACTGTTATCTTAGTTTCTACAATTATTTACATGTAACAAAATTGCTCTACCTTAATAAGTCCATAGTCAGCACTCCCAAAATTCATACTGATCTCACTGTAGCTCATTTGAATTAACATACTTAGAAAAATAATTTTTTTAATGCTTGGAAAAATATATATGCTTAGAAGAATACATGAGAACAATTTATAAAATATTTGCTCAGGGTGCACTCTTCATTTCTATTTTGACACAATGCATCGTTTGTAAATGAGATCTATAGCTTGATTATAATCGTCAGTATTTGAAAATACTAATGAGCCTATGGAATTCATACATATGAAAAAAATAAAGCATCAAGTTATTTTGATGAGAATTATTGAAGGCGAAAGTTCTTCATCCACTGTTTAAAAACAAACAAAAAACTCTGTCAGAAATAGAACACCCCCACATTCCTATCCAACACATCCCAACTTACCGTTGGAATCGGAGTGGTGCAGCTGACCCTTCTGAGCCGTCTCTGCATTAGGTCATGCTCCATACCGTTAACTTCAGCCTTCAATCGTTCTAACTCCTCTTTCTCAAGTTTCAATTGCTTTGCTAACCTCTCCATCCTTGCTCGCTGATGCAACAGCAAGGCTATAGCATTACAGATAAAGTAATTGCAGAGAATAACATTGAACAAGTGAGCAGGAAATTTCTATATGCATAGCTAATGTACAGAATACCTGTAAGGAACCCTGTCATCTAACTTCAGTTGGCATTAATTTTCATGTCTTTCTAATGCTGGCCTACGCTCATATCTGCTTTAATTTAGCTTGTAACTGCTGCCAAAATGACATTATATGTCCCTCTTGTTCTGTTATCCATAGTTTCCCTAAGATTCTCCTTGTTTTAAATACCAAGCGTACTGATATTACTTCCCTTCTTATATACTAAAAGAACATTAAATTCTCAGATGTCTTAAAACAATCTGAATAGACCTTTTAAAAACTCTGTTCTATATACTTAGGTCCATTTTTAAGAAATAATTCTTTACTGTTGAAGGTATTACATAGGTCTCCTTTTTTCCCCCCACTGACCCCCTCCAGAACGCCCCTGCCCCCTGCCCCAAGACCTCACTGCCCCATTGTCTGTGTTGAAGGGCCATGCATATATACTTAGGCCCATTTTTAATCTAACACTGTTCTTCATTATCAATCCAACTTCTTATAAATATCATTGCATCCTTCAAGCCATCCTCTTTTAGAAAAGATTCAAATTCTTTCACCTTGATGAACTTTAGCCTCTATAAATCTTTTTTCCCACTCTGTAGTTTGTATTTTTAACAGTATCAATTTCATTTAAAAATTCTGTATTTTTCTCACAATGACTGTTCTTCCTAAAAACCTTATTAGGTCATTACTCTACATTTTCATATTTTAAAATTAAGTCTGTAGATGGCTCTCAAGCACTAACCCTATTCTTAATAGCAATGCTACTGCCCACTATTTAATAAGTAACTACTAAACATTTAATTAAAACTAAATAGGTAATATTAATTCCCCCATTTTGAATAGGAGTTCCCACCCCAACCATAAAGATTAATTTTCATAAAAGGGATAAAAGTACCTTGTGTATAGGCATAGTCATCTGATCCAGAACTAGAACTCCTGTGGTATTTATGGCTTCCCTTTTCTCCCCCAGAGCCTGGTATCATTGAAATGGGCTGAATAGGTTCTGGGGCTGCAGAAGGTTCTTCTTGGTCCACTAAATTTAAAAGATTTTCAGTCGTTGCTCGGCCTACGGTAATTTTAAAAACTGTAGTTGGGTTTGGTATTACACGAGGAGATGGTGATGGAGCGCATGAAGGTCCAGTTGGCTGTGTATATGTAATATACACAGGATTAACACTAAATGGAGGTTTTGGTTGACTGGATATCCCTCTTGAAGGAGAACTTGAGGGTGGAGTGGTGGCTGTGTACAGCGAGTGCTGATTCCGTGGAGACTGCTGATTACTGATAGGCGAAGGACTCCTTTGAGAGGGTTCAACTGTAATTTCTATCTTCTTCATGGATCCTTTGGGTAAGCTAGATGTTGTATATGGGAGATAAGCTACTGAATGGTTTCCCTGTTTGTGATAGCTAGAAGGTCCTTGTTGATATGGATGAGGTGGAGTAGTTGAAGGACTAGGGGGCATAAAGACGTGGGAACTCGGATGGCCCAACGGCGAAGGTTGCACTTGGTGTTGTGGAGAGCTGAAGGGTGAAGGACACTGCGAAGGAGGTGGCGAATGGTAAGCAGGCTGAGGGATCTGTTGTTGTTTGGGAGAATACTGAGAAGGTTGATAGTTCTGTTGATGTGGATAAATAGGTAGAGGACGTTGGCTATAATGAGACACTGGGCCCTGTGGTGAGGACTGCCATGGGGTACTCTGAGGAGTTCGTCTTCCTGATGGACTCTGAGATGTCTGTCTAATATAAATAGAACCAGGAGACCCATAGAGATTGCTTGGAATTTGTGGAAGAATTTGTAAAGCTCTTGGTACAGTCTGTCCAGAAGGGAGGTTTTGGGATACTGTAACAGTAATTGGATTTGTACTATACCGAGGTATGTGCATGTATGAAGGAGGTGAAGGCCCTTGCATAGCAGATGGACTCATTCCTGTTTGCATCGAAGATGGCTGTTGAGGTGGCTGTGAAGGAGGAGTAGCTGCACTTCTGTTCTGTTCATTCATAAAAAATGGATTGTAGTTTGGAGTAGCAGCCACAACAGCTGGGGCCGAGTGTGGTTCCGGAACTAAACATATCAATTGTTTACCTGCTGCATGCTGTGGATCAATATGTCCATCACTTGAGCTATGCACCAGTGTTCGGCCACCATTAAGTTGTGCTCCATCTCCTGGGTGGTAGCTACTAGGAGAATGGATACCCAGGTTAATATGCAAAAGGCGATTTCTATTCATTCTGTTGTCATCTGGACTATGGTATTCCATATATAAGTATTTGCTACTCTCCTGGGAAAGGGCTCGGCAACAGGCTTCAAGATTGTTGTTATTCTAGGGGAGAAAAATGATTAAGGTAAATTGGCAAAATTAAAAAATCCTAATAGTGGAAGTCAAGTTTTGCCAGAGTGTTATGCAAATGTGATTGTTATGGAATTAGCAGAGAACAGTATTTTAAGCACAAAATTCTTCATGGTCATCTATCCTTGAAAGGAGATCTCAAACAATAATTTTATAGACATTTAGTTTACATGACTAGTGCTACCGCTATTGCTACCAAAATATAAAGAACCTACTAATGAACATTGTGACTCAACCCCAACTTTTCTGACTCCAATTCCAGGACTCATTTATACTTGTCACATCTCAAAAATTTAAAATGTTGGGCTAATCTTATATTCACCACAATTGCTGCAATATATAAGTATAAGTAATAGCCATCATTAATATTTAAACATGAAAATAACCATGCTTTCTAAAGGCACTGAAATCACAAAAGGAGAAAAAAAATATAAAGCAGCCTTCACTTTTCTTTTAACCAAAGTTATCCCTATATAACTTCAACTGTCTCTATCACTATGAAAGATTAAGCTAAACAAAGAAGTAAAAAAAAAAAAAAAGTCCACTTTTTGAACTATGACTCCATGACTTTGCAAAAGTTGGTATTGGCTGACTTACTGAAATTCTTCATAATCCTACAGTCTTGAGTTTTTACCTGATGAAAGGTAGCTTGGTAAACTTTCAAAATCATTTAAGGATTTTAATTTTTTGAGTTATACACACACAGATATGAAAATAGCAAACATTTTAGATGTTCCAATCGACAGTAATGAAACTATTAACAGGTCCCTCTTTTTTAATTTTAAGATATAAGATAGTTTCCATTAAAATATAAAATTCAGCCCTAACCAGTTTGGCTCAGTGGATAGAGCGTTAGCCTGCGGACTGAAAAGTCCCAGGTTTGATTCTGGTCAAGGGCATATACTTTGGTTGTGGGCACATCCCCAGTAGGAGGTGTGTAGGAGGCAGCTGATCGATGTTTCTCTCTCATTGATGTTTCTAACTCTCTATCCCTCTACCTTCCTCTCTATAAAAAATCAATTAAAATTTATTTTTTTTTAAAAAATAAAATACAAGTTACATGGGTGGTCACTTAAAGTTATTTACAATACTGTCCACTTTTGTTGAATGGACTTTTCTTTATATAATGCAATTCACAATTTTTACTGGATGAGTGAGAAAATGTTCCTGTAGCGAGGAGGGCTCTGTTTTGTTCTGTTCTGTGTTGCTTTCATAAATTTAGTGTGTATTTAAGAGATTTTTTTAAAAAAAATTTATTGATTTCAGAGAGGAAAGGAAAGGGAGAGCGAGATAGAAACATCAATGATGAGAGAGAATCATTGATTAGCTGCCTTCTGAAGTCCCCTTACTGGATTGAGGCCACAACCTGGGCATGTGCCCTGACTGGGAATGGAACCATGATCTCCTGGGTCATAGGTTGATGTTCAACCACTAAGCCATGCTGGTTGGGCTCTAAAATCAATTAAAATTTTTTTTTAATAAATAAAAAAAAGCCTGGCCAGTGTTGCTCAGTGGTAGAGCATCTACCTATGCACCAAGAGGTCCCCAGTTTGATTCCTGGTCAGGGCACATGCCCGGGTTGTGGGCTCAATCCCCAGCAGGGGGCGTGCACAAGGCAGTTGATCAGTGTTGATGCATCAATGGATGTTTCTATCTCTCCCACTCTCTCTAAAATCAATAAAAACATTAAAAAAATTTTAAAGAAATAATCTATTAACGTTTCTTAATTATCACTACCTTCTCTGTAGTTCATAAATATGCATACAAATATGCACATTACATACTTATTACCACATATTTATTTTAAGGAAAAGTACATTTTATACAAAAATGAAACATTATACTTCTGCCGAGAACCAACTGAGGTTAAACCTAAGATAGGACATACAACGCTGCAATTTTATTTATTTATTTTATTATTTTTAATTTATTTCAGAGAGGAAGGAAGAGGGAGAGATAGAAACATCACTGATGAGAGAGAATCATTGATCGGCTACCTCCTGCACTCCCCCTACTGGGGAATCAATCCCTGATCTCCTGATTCATAGGTCAATGCTCAACCACTTAGCCACATCTGCCGGGCAATGCTGCAATTTTAGAGCTGGAAGAACTCTTAGGTTTCATCTACACAAGAGCAACTCATTTACAGATAAGAAAAGAGATGCCTGGAAAAATTACATGGCTTGACAACAAGCACTTAACTAGTTAACAGGAGAGCCAGGTCTAGATTCTTGGTTTCCTGACTTCCTGCTCTTTCCCCCTTAAAACGCAAAAATTTCAAGGGAGAGGATGTTAGGCCAAAAGTACATTACTACACTAAAGCTTTAGGGAGTAAAAGAAGATTTGGTCAAGCAAATCTTTGCAAAATGAAGAATCAGAAATTTGAAGAATTGATGTTCTGAACATTCCACAAGTAAATTTTATCCTTTTCCTTATATAAAGCTTTTCATTTTTTAAATTCTTACCAGATAATATTTTTCCACTGATTTTCATAGAGAGTAGTAGGAGAGAGAGAAACATCAATGTGAGAGAGACAGATAGATTGGTTGCCTCCACCATGAGCATTGACCTGGTGGGTAGGGATTGAGCCTGCAACTGAGTTACGAGGTACCTGCCCTTGACCAGAAATTGAACCTGAGACCCTTAGGTCTGCAGGCTGATGGTCTAACCAGTGAGCAAAACCGGCCAGGGCATATAAATCCTCTCTGAAATCAAATTCAAATATTTTAAAAAATACTTTATGATCCACAGAAAAAACACACATAATGTTAAAATTTAAAAAGAAAATAATTAGAATTCAAAGTCTGGGGTTTTTCTTATCTTTTTTGGAAATCATGCTGATCAAGAGAGGAAAGCTAGATATTAAGCAAATTTGGAGCCAAAGGATTCATATGTCACTGACATAGCTGAAGAAAAAAAATATGAAAAGTGAAAATAAGACTATCTCCTTAAAGTATTTTTATAAACTGATAGATTAAGAGGAGAAGACAAACTTAGAGAGTTTTATTTGAAACCTAAAGCAGTTATGGACACTTCACTATTTGACATTTGTATTAATGATCTGGAAATTTCATATTTTCTACACTGAAAATAGGTAGCCTAATTAGTATTGTTGCAAAAAGGATCCAAATTAAAAATGATACAAAGTTGGTTTTGTCAGCTTATTTCAAATATGTCTACAGTGACAAGTTGAGTAAATTTTCCTGAAAAAAATTAAAAAAAAGATATTTAAGTATTTTAAAAAGAATACCACCAGAATAGATTCAAATGTCATATTTAACCTGGTAAATATCTTACAAAGAAAAAAAATGGATAAAAAACGTTTCAACCAGTAAGCATGAAGAATAAAAAAATCAAAACTGTTTAAAGAGGTCATAATTTTTATGAAGACATATATGAACTCTCTGGAAAGGACCGATGCAAAAAAAGCATCATACTTTCAAAAAGTGATCCTAAATTGAGGGATGAGAGCCCTGAGATAGGATGTAAGGTTTATGTTTTAAATGCAAACTACTGAGTATCATATATTTTCTGACTGGTAGGAGGTAAGTTCCCTATCAATTAACTATTAATTCCAAAGGAACAAAAGAGTAAAAGACTAATGAAAAAGTTATCACCAAATGTTCAGTGAGTTGAATTTAGTTTCATTCTTTCAGTTTAGCAAGTAACATGAAAACAACTAAGGCATGAAAAATTACAGGTGATAAAGAACTAAGTAAAATAAAATAAAAAAGTCAGAGCTAGGTGGGGCCCTAGGAGATTGCTAATGCTTTAAACCAGAGCCCCACTTGGTTTCACTGCAGTGGGAAATACTTTTGATATCGTAATAAGCTAATTATTAATTATTAACTAATTAATTAAGCTACTTATTAATAATTAGAAGCCCAGTGCATGAAATTCATACACGGGTAGGGTCCCTAGGCCTGGTCGGCGATCAGAGCCAATCGGGGCCTTCTGGCTGCCGGCCAGGGCCTTCTTTCCCCAGCTGCTGGTCGGGGCCTTCCTTCACTCTGCGTCGCCCCCTGGTCGTCAGCGCACATCATAGCAAGTGATCAAACTCCTGGTCAAACTCCCAAGAGGACACTTTGCATATTAGCCTTTTAGATAGATAGATAGATAGATAGATAGATGATATAGATAGGAAAGGAGCAAAGGGAAGGCCAGACATGATGCTGAACTGAAGCTGTCTTCAACATGGAAAGGAAACTCTGGACCCTGGCTTTGCTTCTAGCTCTACTGAAACCCCAGCTATACTTCTTCTATGACTGGATAAAGGAAATGAGACTTCGGAAATCTAGAGACGTAATTCCATGCAAACAAACAACACTCATCCTCCCGTGCAAGTCTCAGAAAATTTCTTTTTTTGGGATATCGCAAGGGCTCCACCCCTGGCAGCACCCAATGGGGAAGGGGACCCCACTTTATCCGGTGTCACCAATACACCACCATTAAGTTGTGCTCCATCTCCTGGGTGGTAGCTACCAGAGACTGAATTGGGAGGCTAAAGAGTAGAAATTCAGATGGAATGTGTGTTAGAAAAAACAAAGACAAGCTGTAACACTAAAATAATTGACCCAAAGTTCTAGACCTAGTAGAAGGGCTTGCAAACAAAGGAAGTACTTCTGTTACCACCTCTGTTCTGTGAGTCTCTCTTTAATCGTCATTAATCTCAACTGTATATAGGCTTAGGTTATATCCTGAGCCACTCATACTGTAGTAAGGTAGAGTTTGAATTGATTGTGTGAAGGAATCCAGTGGGCAAGACAGAAGTGCTGCTTCCAAATGTCAACTAAATATGGAAATGGTATAACCTCAAACACTGAGATCCTCTGAAGGATGATATAAAAGTCTATTGCCTCTTGAGTGGGAAAACATGGTCTATCAGAGATGAAAGAACTTTATTTCACTAGAAGATAAGACAAAAGGAATGTGATTAAAGAAAGTGGCCTTAGTGGCATTTACTAAGTAGAAAAACAGTAAGAAAGAGAGTGAACTCTACAAATTTTCAAAAATAGACTCAAAAGTATGTAGTTCAACAAGTTATAAATTTGAGACTCAAAATTCAATTCTACATTTTTGGGGACTGATGACACAACCCAAGAAATTGAAATATGAGGAGAATTTTATTTGCTACAATTTTTTACCACCACAATAAAGATTATCCAATCTAAAATGTTGATAGCGCCAAAGTTGAGAAATCCTGCTCTAAGTGTCACCCTTGCCCCCTACACAAGAAAATTTAACAGAGTTCTAGTTGTCACAATACAAAGCCAGCTCTAATAAGGTAAAATGTAGCTTAATATCACTATCATTGGTGGGTAATCTACCTGTAACATGCACTGAGACACCACACCCTCTGGAATCTCAGGGAAACGTTGTCGGAGGTCAAGGAGAACCTGCATATCAAGCTGTGGACTGCTTTGCGCCATGCCAGAGCAAATGGTGGTCAAGTTTCTCTTAGGAAATGGATGCTAACCGGCTTTCCAATAGCAATGGTCTTCCAACACCGCAGTCATTTTCTATTAAAAGAAATTAAGGTATGGTTAAATTTAATTACATATTTCATTTTATTCAAAGAGAAACCATTAATATATTAAAATGGAAGGTTGGAAATTGACAAATTCAACCTAGCCAAAGACTTTTCTGATGTAATATAGCCATTACTGGTTTAAACACAAGTAAGAAAAGCTAACCCTCCCCCCCCCCCCAATTTCAATTTCAGTTAATTGTTAAAAAAAAAAAAGCTGTTACATTAAAAATACATAGTAGTATTATCTGGCAACCATACTTTCCCAGCCTTGAGAAATCCTACTTATATATATAATCAGTCATGTTTTCCCAAGGTCTATCACATCACTTCTCTAAAGCAGCACAATTATTTTGATGTCTGAAATAATAAAATAAGAAAACAAGGACTTGATAATATCACCACAAAGCATGCCTGTCCTGTTTGCCTTATATTCTCCCTGTACTTTGAAGCCAAAAGATTGAATTTAAAGTCTGAGTGAAGGAAACCCAATATCTAAATGAAATAACTGGGCAAAAAAAAGGAAATATGCAATCCTTTGTTTTAAAAAATGATGCTGGTGGCCCATCAATAGTCAGACCTTCCCAGCTAGGCTTTCACCTAGCTCTGATGCCACTGGGACAGGTGCTAAAATGGCAGGATGTGGGATTATACTGACACTAGTTGAGCTAAGCACCCATGTAAATAAAGCAACTTGTGCAGTGATAATGAAATCATAAATCAACTAGCAGCACAAGGGTCAATTAACCAACCTACTTTTTAATCCTTATTTCCCTTTTATTTAAAAATTAGAGGCCCAGTGCATGACATTAATGCTCCTGCACTGAGCATCTGCCCCCTTGTGGTCAGTGTGCATCATAGCAACCGGTTATTCTGCCGTTTGGTAGATTTGCATATTAGCCTTTTATTATATAGGAGTGATTTAGAGAGAGAGAGAGAGAGAGAGAGAGAGAGACAGGGAGGGAGAGAAACATACTAGTAAATTGACTGCCTCCCACACAATCCCCAATGGGGGATTGAACCTGTCACCTTTTGTTGTTTGGAACAACGCTCCAACCAACTGAACCACACTGGCCAGGGTTTATTATTTCCCATTTTTTACTATTTTGTTACTATGGATATTTTAGAGAGAGAGAGAGGAAGGGAGAAGGATAGAGAGATAGATACATCTATGAGAGAGAAACATCGATTGGCTACCTCCTACACACTCCCTATTGGTGATCAAACCTGCAACCCCAGACATGTGCTATGACCAGGAATCAAACCATGCCCTCCTGGTTCACAGGTCAATGCTCAACCACTGAGCCACACCAACCAGGCAATTCCCCATTTTCAAAAGGCAAAAAAAAACCCCAAACCCATACAGTGTAAACCATACAATCTCATAATATTTCTGCTGTGCTCAGTCACTAGATAGTCAAATATTTTTAAGAATGAGAAATAATCACCTGCATCTTCATAAGATTCCATGGAAGTGATAATTGTAAGACACATGTCTAAATCACACACATAAGGGAGAGTTATCTCACACCCAATCTTCTATTTCTTGCAAATAGTTCCCAGAATTGTAAATCATACCATTCCTTAAAGCAATGTAGACTACTACACAGAATATTTTTTAAAATATATTTTTATTGATTTTTTACAAAGAGGAATGGAGAGGGATAGAGTTAGAAACATCGATGAGAGAGAAACATCGACCAGCTGCCTCCTGGACACCTCCTACTAGAGATGTGCCCGAAACCAAGGTACATGCCCTTGACCGGAATCAAACCTGAGACCTTTCAGTCCGAAGGTCGACGCTCTAGCCACTGAGCCAAACCAGTTTGGCTACACAGAATATTTTACAAATAAAACTATTTGCCCCAGCTGGTGGGGCTCAGTTACTTGAGCATTATCCTGTGCACAGAAAGGTTACCAGTTTGATTCCTGGACAGGGTGTGTGCAGGAGGTAACTGATCAATGTTTCTCTTATATCGATGTGTGTGTGTGTCTCCCCCCCCCCCGCCTCTCGGAAATCAATTTTTTTAAAAGTTAAAAATAATTAAAAATAAAATACTGAATTACTTTTGCTGGTTTATAATTACGTAGATAATTAAAAGTAAATTTATTGAATTTTTATGGAATCTCTAATTTGACTTTCATTATATGCACAGAATTTCATTTTGCATGCAATCTGCTGACTTTTACTGGGCATCTAGATGTCTCTTCTTCCTTCCAAACCAAGACTACCAAGAGTTAGGTACTCTTTGTATCTATAAGGTGTTCACAAACTCCTATGTATAAGACTACCTAACCACAGGTAAAAAGAGCCATTAGGGACTGCTTAATGACTTCCAACCATCTACACGAAAGATGTCTAAGGAACATGAGGAAAAAAGTAAAATGTGGGTGAAGAATATATATCACTTCCAGTGTGCACATACATGGGCCTTCTGGCCACCTTGTACTATTCCAATCCCTGCAATTCATTCTAATGTGGCTCATCTCACTGTTCCACTGAAATACTCTCTCCATCATCTCTCTTCCTCTAAATCCAGATGATATATATTCTGGTCCCTATGCCACTTGATCTCTGAGGCATCTGACACTACCAATCACTCCTCCTTTTCATAGTCTCTGTGACATCATAGTAGCCTAGTTTCTTCCCACCTCTTATCACATTAATGTTTCCCTTGTTTTTGCCCTAAACTGCCTCTTCTTATTCTACATGTTTTTGCCCAGTGATCACACCCACTACTAAGGTTTCAAAAACTTTTAAAGGCTGATGATTCCCAATTTGATATCTTAAGCTTCATACTCTCTCCAAGACTCCAGATATATAGCCAACTGCCTAAAACAGCACCATAAGGATATACCCAAAGATATCAGTCACTATGTCCAAAAAGGAACTCCTTACCACAGCCCTTCCCCAAAGGCTTTCTGTTCTCTCCATGAACGTTACCACTCACTTAACAAAATTAGAAATCAGGGTGTGATCCTTGACTTCCTGTTCTTGCACAACCAACTAAACAGTGTGTGAGATCAAGTGGGTCATGGTTTACACCCTGGTTCTGGCGTTTATCAGTCTGTAGAAAAGATATTCAATCCTTACGACTTTGAAGCTTCTTTTGTAAAATGGCAATAACAGTAGTATAATTTAAATGGAAAACAGTCATAAGTCATGAAGCATTAGTTACTATTATTCAGGGCATGTCTGAATATTATTCTCATCAACTTCCTGCTGGTCTCCCCATAGGTCTTGCCTTCCTCCACGTCACAGCTAGACTATTTGTTTTCTTAGATGCAAATCTGATCTTGTCTCCATCCTTTGCATAGATGTCGTGTACTGCCTTTTCTCAGGGCATTAGCCTACAAGCATCTATCTGCCTGAGACACTTTTCTATTGTCCGACCTCCACTCTGCTTCCTAAAGTCATACCGATACCCTCTATGTTGGCACCTTCCAGTGACCCCCCCCTTCCTTAGTCCTACTGCCTTGCCTCTCCTCCTACACTGGGCTAGAGGACCATCCACTATGCTACCACAGCAGGCTGTGCTTATTCTCACAGGAGAGCCAAACACTATACTGAAGCCACTTGTGTACCTGAAGGTCTCATATAAAACTGAAGCTCCACCTGAAATGTGCTGTTATGCCAGAGAGCGAGGAAGTACTCAAAAAATAATGGGAGCTGGTCACAGGACCTGTGAGTCAGCCTAAAGAGGCTCCCACTGGCCAAATCTGTGACAGTTTAAGCACCACATCAATTAAGGATATTAACGGGTTACAGGCCTGTAGAAGAGAGGAACCCATAAGTCCATATCAATAATAGTTAAAAATACACACTTACATAGGTGGAGAAGGGAGAGCTTTTGCTTACAGTAGAATCCAACTGGTAAACATGCAGAGTGCTAGAGCTAGAAAAATCATTTTGTAGCTATTACAGTATACAAACTGCTTCAAGCAAAAATCATCAATGGTTAATAAATCTAGGGAGGGGAATATGAATTAGGAGTAGGATAAATAAGTGGTCTTAAAGTATCTCCCCAAAGACTTTTTTATTAGTTGCACAGGGGAAATTTTTAACTATACAGTGGATAAACTGAGCAACATCTTGACTGGGTGAAAAAATTAACATCATCAATAAAGGACAGATAGCGTTCACCTCCAGATGTGATACCCCAAAAAGAACATATCACTTTATAGTATTCCAGTCATGGATTCGTAACCTGAAATGGCTCATGAGCAAAAAGACAAACCCTGAATGAGAAATGTTCTATTAAAAAAATGTAGAGAGTAGGAGAGGGTGAGAATGTCATCTTAAAAATGCCAGTGTCATAAAAGATTTAAGGCTAGGAAAATATCAGAGATTAAAGGAATAGAGCCATGACAACTAAATTGGCTACCCAATCCTAGACTGAATCCTATACTAAATGCGGAAAATATTTTTTAAAATGAATGGATCAATTGAAAAAATTGAAATGTGGATGGTAGATCAGAAAAAGTGTTCTATTAATGTTAAATTTACTGACTTGAATTAGGCAATGAAGCATTCAGGGGTAAAGGGTATGACATCATCATCGATGTTTCTATTTTTATCTTCCTCTCTTCTCAGAAATTAATAAAAATAACCAAAGGACTTGTGTGCATGCATATAAGCATAACCAATGGACACAGACACCAGGGGGTGAGGACATGAATGGGAGTGGGGTGGGGGGGCAATAGGATAAGGACACACATGTAATACCTTAATTAATAAAGAAAAAAAAGAAATCTCAGGACAGATCACACACACACACACACACACACGTTAAAATTAGCCCTGGCCAGTGTAGCTCAGTTGGTTGAGCATTGTCCCATGCACTGAGCGGTCCCCTGTTCCATTCCTGGTCAAAGCACATGCCAGGGTTGCGGGCTTGATCCTTGGTGGGGGTGCGCAAGAGGTAGCTGATCGATGTTTGCTTTCACATTGATGTTCTCTCCCCCTCTCCCATCCTCTCTCAAAAAATCTTAAAAACACACACCAAACACTCAAGTTTTACAATAACGTACTTTTGTATTTAAGCCCATAGAATACAACGAAAATGAAGCATTGTCATATACTATCTTATAGATTGGAAATGATACAGGTCAAAACATACAGTCTATTCTTGTCAATATATAGTTGACCCTAGACCAGCCGTGGGCAAACTACGGCCCGCGGGCCGGATCCGGCCCGTTTGAAAAGAATAAAACTAAAAAAAAAAAAAAGACCGTACCCTTTTATGTAATGATGTTTACTTTGAATTTATATTAGTTCACACAAACACTCCATCCATGCTTTTGTTCCGGCCCTCCGGTCCAGTTTAAGAACCCATTGTGGCCCTCGAGTCAAAAAGTTTGCCCACCCACGCCCTAGACCAACATACCACGCAAGTCTACTTATGTGCAGATTTTTTTCAATGAATATACAGTTGGCTATATGTATCCTTGGCTTTCCCATCTGAAAATCCAACCTACCTCAGGTAAAAAATATTTTTGATCTTTGGTTGGGAATCTGCGGATCCAGAGGGCTGACTGTATGCATTGTTCTACGCCAGTTTATATAAGATACTTGAGCACCTGCAGATTTTGTTTATCTGCAGGGGGTAGAAGTGGGGGGAGTAGTCCTGGAACCAATCCCCCATGCATACTGAAAGACAACTGCAATTAAGTTTTGGGGGAATCAAATGTTATACAGATATTCAACTGCATGGGGTCAGCAACCCTAAACCCCTCACATTCAAGGATCAACTGTTTATCAATGTATGCAACAACTATGCAAAGTACACATGGAGTTTGTCTCTTAACATTATACTGGGATGCTAGTTTTTATACAATATTAAAGTTATGATTTGATGATTTGACACCTTAAAACCAGGCAGAGGACTCAAGCACTATCTGAACTGTACTGGCTAGACTAGGATGTGACCAAATTCCTGAGACACCCTTGAAACACCCCCACTAAAAACACAGATGGCCACAGCTGTGGACTGTGGAGCTGTGTAGGCAGTAACCCTAGATCAAGAAAGAAGAAATAGTGAAGGCATAAATCACACAGTTCCAAAGCCACAAAACCCAGGAGTGTCTGCGGGGTCAAGCCCTTATTTCTGAAGGCAGGATGAAGACTGGGGGCTTAGAATAGTATGCTTAGCGTGGAATCACTCAGGCTTCCTCCAGTAGTGCAGCTACAACCTCCCCCAATTCAGGAGTGCCAGCACCACAAGACACAGCAGCTGCGGGGATTTCTCCCAATAGAATTCCTCCTTCCAAAGAGAGTATGCTCTTCAAGAGCTCTCTTGTGATGCTACAATTCTCCAAACTCTAGAAAATGACCTTGACACCGAGTGCTTTCTTTCCACAAACTTTTCTGAGCCCAGCAAATATGGTCAGTGCTGTTATGGCCCTGGTTACCTGTGCCAGAATTTTAGCTAACTTACTAAAATGATTACATTACAGGTTACAAACCAATGGTCTGTGAGCTGAATCCAGCCCACCCATCTGCTTTGTCAGAGTTAAAAAAAAGTTGAGCCACACTTTAAAATTGAAATTTTACATAAAAATTTGAATATCTAGCTTTCCTCTGAAAAATCAGATCTAGCATCTGGTTGAGGCTAAGCAGTCACTCCCTGGTTTAGAAAAGACATATACTCTCCATCTTGCCTAGTTTCTACAGTGTCCCAGACACTGAGGCCTGGTCTTGCTTTATTCATTGACATACTTACTGGATCTGTGACACCCGAGAAGCTTATAGATAGTACTGTATTAGTCTAGTGTGTCTTAATGGTATGCTATTGATGTGGTAGTCTGGAACACACTTCTTCATCATGCAAGCCTGTTCCATGTGTTACGAGATCTTTAGCATCCTGGCCCCTCCTGTAAAATCCCAGGAATACCCCAAAGTGGGGCCTAGGGAAAGCAACAGTATTCCAGGCTGACAACTACTATTACCATGCTAAGTTTGATGAGGTGTGCATTTCCCAGGTTTGAAAAAGAGTTAGCCTTGCCTTAAGAGGACTTTCAAGATTAAAAAAGAAAAGAATCGCAAGGCTGCGGTGGCTCAGTGGTTGAACGTCAACCGATGAACACCGTGGTCAGCA